GGGACAACTACTGGGTTATGCACTAGAAGGGATCATGCCACTCAAAGGACACTTTTGTATCAGCGAGCCAAATTGGAATTCTTTGTAAAGCCTTTTTGTTGACTGGACTTGCTGTCTAAGTTGCTGGGAGTCATACCTAATGAATTAATAATAATTAATTGGTGAGTTGGGGTGGGGTTTTGTTGTTGTTGTTTTGTTGTTGTTGTTGTTGTTTTTTTGGGGGGGTGAGTTGGGGTCATGTTAGTGATGCATGATTGTTTTTGTTGTTGGTTTTTTTTGTATCATTAGAGATGGGTTTTTTTGGTGTGTTTTTGTGGGTATTAATTAATTTGCTTCAACCTGGTTGAAGCAAATTATGGAAAACAACTTATCACGAATTTAAGAAAACGACAGGCAAATTTCTTTGGACACACAATGCGGAAAGCAGCATTAGAGAATATTGTAACAACAGGAAAGTTTGATGAAAAGAGAGGCAGAGGCAGACAGAGGGAAAAGATACTGGACAAGATGACAACATGGTCGGGAGCAGCAAGAACAACAGACACCATCGCTGCAGCGCAGGGCAGGGTGAAGTTGAGGTCCATGATCGCCCACGCCAGTCGGCAAGGCACCGGATGATGATGATTGAATTAATGAGTTAGTTAATTAATTAATTAATTTATTTATTTATTTATTCACTCATTGGGGAGGGGGGAGCTTTGAATGCTGTTGTTTCGTAGTGGTCATTTTGCGATTTGACGCCCTCATTCGCAGTACATGTAGTAGCCTACTCATCTGTAGTTTTCAGTGGCCACAGCCTATTGAAATTCCTTATTTGCCTTACTCGTAGGTTGAGTTCCCGCTTGGAAAAAGTTATATCATTTGCCGGGTGCCGTCATCTGTAATGAAAATATGCAGCAAATATGGAAAAGAAACCGTTAGTTTGATTCCCGTGTTTTCAGTTTCCGAATTGTCGGACTTTTTTCTCACTAATTTTACTTCTGAAACCAGGCGACACCCTCCTCGTTCAGTAGTTATTCTGTTCTAGAAAGATGGATAATTTTTTTTCATCGAAAGCAAGACAAATGAATATAAGCTTTAAGACGATAAATATGATACCAATTACTTCAGATGCCCAAAAATCTGACGGCGATCGCCTGATTCCACCGAGTTGTGACCCATTCATTATAATGCACGTCTATGGTATAACCTCACCAACATAATATGTGCGTGTTATGACTACTAGAATTTAGCTGAGGCATTTTATTCATTCATTAGACAGTTATACGTGCTCTGCATTTTTATTTGTGGTCTAAAATAGATACAAGGATAGAGTGGTGTGTGTGCAAAACTGCTGCGTCATTCTACGAATGTTTCTTGTTCGGACGTGGTTAGATGTATTTATGTTGAGTTTGTATGCAGAGTGGGTTATGTCCTTTGTGGGTGGTTAGAGGCTGTCACTAGTAGGTTCTGCTGATTTTTATTTTCCTCTGGCTGGTGGCTGTCGGTCTGTCTGTCTGTCTCTCTGTCTGTTTTGCTTTTCCATGTTCGAAGTGGCCTTTGGCGCGCACTTCTTTTTATACCAACAGTAAAGTAGTCCTTGGTACCAACTATAAAAATAGTTATGTCCTCGTTTTCTCGCCCCTTGACTTCTTACAAGGGTCTGGTTCTACTTATGAGGTTAAACCCTGGCGTCGGTGGTGTAGAGTTTAGGTACGTCGCCTTCGCACACAGGAGATGTGAGTTCGATTTTATGTGTGGGAAGAAGTTTTATCGAGTATCTCTGTCTGTCTGCTGGGACTTTGTATCTCTCTCAGCCTGGGTTGGCCTTGGCCTGACAAGATTGAAGCATCCTATCTCCCTAATGATCAGGATTGTGTTAACGGGGGTGTAAGACTTGTACGGTTACAAAAACAGTAGGATGCCCCCCCCCCCTCCCGGGAATATCTGGTCGCTTTCAAGGACAAATGGGCTAACCCAGATTTCGGAGGTTTCCAGAAATCTTGACCTACACCAAAAGTGGGCTTAGCCCTACCTATAGGTGAAGTTTGGTTTCATCGGAGTGTATATTTGTTTGGTTATAGAGAAAACTCTACTTGTTTTGTTTTTTAAGAAACTGAACAAGGGGGCAAAAACTTAAGCTTCGATTTTCTCAAAACAGCAATTTTCGGATAGCCCACTTGTCTTTAAAAGCGACCATCTATGCTCAGACATATCTGTCTATGTCTTGCTTTTTCCCTGCACTGTATGGCTTTATGTGTCGACGGGCTTCTCTTTACTCACCTCAAACTCAATTTTTTAAAATACTTAATACTGTACTTGTTTCTGTCTTCCTCGAAAAGGCCTCTGGCTCAAGTAGGGCGTTAAAAACCGCTAATATAAGAAGGAAACTTGCGAAACGGTGGGTGGGTGGGGGCTCCATGAATCAAACAAGGCGATAAAAATATCAAATATTATGACAACGAAACTTAGGAAATGTGGAAATGGTGAATGGGTCCGGCCCGCAAGTTCGCTTTGGGCCTGCCCCACTTTTGAAGATAGGTCCAAAGTCTAAACCATCATAACGTTACTCCATTTTAGAGCTCTCATTATTGGAATGAAGCGTTAACCCATGGTTCACTCTGTGTGTGTCGTAGAGAAATGGCACGCCGTGACAAGTGACGAGATGCATTGTCAGTCACGTCTGTGTATACTTGGACAAGACAGAGCTCCCAGACCCTCACTTAGAAACAAGAGACAATAAACGTAGTAGTTGTTTAGACTCTAATCTTTTGTTTGCTGGTTTTGTGCTGGGTTGTTTTTTTTTGGTTGTTTTTTTCTGGCGCTCAAATGACCTTATGCAGTTGCGAGCGCCGTAAAACCTCTACTAAAACTGTTTTGTTTTAAATCTTTTCTTTCCTGATATGAACAAAGTGGCCCGTGTTTTTTGTGCGTTTAAAAATATTTTTTTTAAAATCAGTCTTTTGGGGAGCAACTGATCGTTCCAACTTTAATTCTTTCCTGTTTTGTCCATCTGTCCCGCTATATTCTTCTGGCAGTGAATGGCCCGGAGTTGTGTCAGTTGTTCTTCTCTTTACTCCGACAGACTCCCTTGGTTTTGTGTTTTGTCATTGTTAGAGTGATTGCCTTTTAGATATGGACATAAAAGGTGTGGGTTTTATTTCGAATTTTTCTCCACCTGTGAAGACACGAAATAATGCACCCCCGGGGGCGGTGCTACTGACTGAAGTGTCTTTAGGGCATTCCCAAAGGGGGAACATATACACGTTTTTATGCACAGTAGAATTAAAATTGTAAACGGGCTGATTCGTCAATGTCATGCTCATAACTGTGCCTGAACTACAACAGGGAACTGCTTTTTTCTTTCTTTCCTAATCCTCACTATCGTCATTTCCTCTACTTCTTTTGTATGTTTTTCACACTCTTGTGACCCGGTATTTCCACGGTGCCTTGACAGTCGAAGCAGACTTAGTGCTGTTGAAGTTGAAGCAAGAGAGGTGAGCAGAGTAAGCCTGATTCCCTGTAAGGACTTCTCTATGGACATCCACCCCTTGGTGCTTATATGACCGTATGGAGTTGCGAGTGCTGTAAAACTTCTACTGAAACGAAACGACATAATGCTGTCGTGATTGTGTAAATAATGTGTCAGTCTCGGTGTCACAGAGAGCCATTCCAGGTTGATATTATTTTGTTTACGTTTTTAAAGCGTCGAGCTGTCAACAGTGGATGTGTGGCTTTGTGTGTGTGTGTGTGTGTGTGTGTGTGTGTGTGTGTGTGTGTGTGTTCAAAATAAATTCCTACCAAACTGAAAAATATGCTCAATGTGTCCCGGGCGTTCATATGACCGTATGCAGTTACAAACGCCATAAGATACTTACACAAGAAAAGGAGAAAAAAGACATTACATCACAATGTGAGCTTCCCGAAGTGTAAAGCCTGCATGGAACACAGATCAAGCTGTTTTTTTTGGGTTGTTTTTTTGTGGTTTTTTTGGAGTGATGCCAAGAGAACGACTGTCATTTAGTTGTGAACAGACATCCGTGTACCTGTATATAATTTTTTTTTTTTTACGATTCTACGTGCCAGTTGTACTCTGTCGCCTTTAAGGATTGCTCATAAAAAAAATATTATGTCGGGTTTTTAAAAAATCCTTTTTTGTGCTTTGCAAGCCCAACGTTGAGCTGGACGTGTTTGCTCTGACTTCTCCAGTCCCTTCTGTTACTGTGATTATGGCTCCCTTCTGTGGGTGGTTGGCGGATGCTCTGGTGTGGTTTGCTCCTTCTTTCCTATTAAACAACTATCGTCTTTTTCTCTCCTCCTTCTTTTTTATGTTTGTTACTCTCTTGTAACGTCTCTAATCTTCGGCACTCATATGACCTTATTGTGTTGCAAGTGCCGCAAAACTCTTACTAAAACTTTAAAAAACTCCCTTCTGCTGTAACCTGTCTAAAATCAGGTTTTGTTTTTTAAAGTGTGAGTTGTCTACGTGTGCACTGGTGTGGTTTGCTCTTTCTTTCCTATCAAACATCTGTCGTCCTTATGTCTCCTTATTCGTTTATTACTCTCTTGTAACACCTCTATTTTTCGGCACTTACATGACCCAATTGTGTTTGCAAGTGCCATAAATGCTTACTAAAACTAAATACCCTACCCTACCACACCACACCACACCACACTACACCTCATTACACCACACCACTTCACACCACACCACTTCACACCACACCACACTACACCTCATTACACCACACCACTTCACACCACACCACACTACACCTCATTACACCATACCACACCACACCACACCACACCACACCACACTACACCTCATTACACCACACCACACCACACCACACCACACCACACCACACCATAACATAAAATAACATACCTTACCATGCAAGCTCTTTGACATGTTCAATTCAATATATTTGTTGCCAAGGTTGTGTTCTTGAGTCATTTTTTTTCCAGGGGCTATTTGTTATCATGTTTTAATTCTTGTTCTCTTCTCTCTCTCCCAGCTGCATGGCTATGACGTGAGCACAATCAACTCGGTACAGTTCTCCAACCACACAGGTCTGTTGTCTCTGAACTGATCTCTCTCTCTCTCTCTCTCTCTCTCT